CCTTAATAAGTATTTAGTATAATATTATTAATTAATATTTAATGTTAATTATGCACAATGCTAATAATAGTTGTAGTAAAGCAAATCTCACTCCTGATTATAATTTCTCTGATGTCAATATTAATATGGATATCTTGTTTGGAATTCAAGACTTATTTTTACCAAAAATTAATATGAAAACACAAAGCTTATCTGAAATCTCAAAAGATGATGAAATTTTACAAGAAAGTAGCAATTCAGAGTGTTTGTATTAAAAGATTTTTCTGATTGTGATAGAGCCTTAAATGATTTTCTTAGCTCTAAAGATTTTGATAATTATTCAGATCACTTTATATATAAAAGTTTTTTTAACTGTGACAGATCTTTGAATAATTTTCTTAGTTCTGAGAGCTCTGAAAATGATTATTCAGATTATTTTCAAAATAGTATAGTTTTTTATTTTATTATTTATTTTTTTATTTTTATTTTTTTATTTTATTTTATTATTTATTATATTTATTTATTTTTATTGTTTTTTTTTAAAACTGAAATAAATTTATATTTGTAATATTAGATATAGAGTTAGATATATCAGAAGAATTGGCTATTGCATTAAGGTTATTTAAAATGAAAGTTCAATATAATCTAACTGATGAAGCTTTTTAACAAACTATAATTGTAGTTAATACTATGCCAGTTAGTTTATATATTGTTAAAAAAACATTAAGATCAATTGTAGATATTAAACCTCTATAGATAGATATATGTGTTAACTCATGCTGTGATATACTGAAAACTATCAAAAAATTATTGAGATGTCCAGTTTGTAAGTTAAATCAGTATTATTACTAAAAAAAAACAAGAAAACCACATTAGCAGTTTGCATATTTTTCACTTGCACAGTGGCTTACCATTTAATATAGAGATTCTAATCATGCTGCAGAATTTAGATACAGAGCTAATTATGTATTACGTAGAAATAATGACCAAATAGGTAATATTTTTGATAATATATTATAAGGAATTAGTAAAAAATAGATATTTTTAAGATGAACAGGATGTGACACTAATAGCTTTAACAGATGATTATTAAATATTTAGACAAAAGACTAATGACTATTGGATAGTGTTAGTAATTAATGCAAATCTGGCTCCTGAAAATTGAGTTAAGAAAGAAAATCTTTTGATTAGTTTAATTATACTCAGGCCAAAAGAACCAAAAGATTTTAATACTTATCTCTTTTTTATGATCAAGGAATTATAAAAATTAGAAGGTAAATCTACTTATATTAAGTTATAGTATTTATTATAATTTTATTATTTTTATTAATAGCTATTTATTAATAGAAGAGATAAATTGTTATGATGCATTTAAAGAAGAACATTTTATACTTCATGCTGTTGTAGTCAACTGGTCAGGTGATACTCCAGAGTTAACAAAATTAATGGGTTTAACTGATCATAATAGTTATAAAGAATGTCGATATTGTAATTTGAGAAGTATTTGTACAAATCATATTTATTATTCTACAACACTGCCTGTAAATTCTAATTTTAAAAGATATTGCACATCCAATCTACTAAGTCAAATACATGAAAAATAGAAAAAAAGGCTTAAGAAAATCTATAAAGCAATGTCTAAAAGAGAGTGAAATGAATTAATTACTAAATATAATAATATTAAATTATTTAAATAATATTTATTAATTGTAGCAGTTTATGCTAAAATTTTATTATAAAATAGTAAAATTTTTTTGTAGCCTTTTTTTATAGTTAGATTAGTATTTAGGTAATTTTATTAATAAAAAAGTATATTTGAATTTTAGTAGATTTAAATAGAGACTCCAAATTTTAGCATAAGCTGTCACATTAATTAAAGGTATAACTGTATGAGTACTAATTATTAATTTATATAGGGATTACTAAACATAATATTCTATTTGACTTGCTAACAACTCATTTTTCTGACTTCTTTATTATAGATATTATGCATCTGTTTTATGAAAACATTGCTAAATATATGTTTGAACATTGGACTGAAACTTTTTTTTTAGATGAATCACAAAACAGAGAACCATATATGTTGACTAGGTTAATTTGGTTAGATATTGAAAAACAAATGCATGTATCATGCAAGGATTTGCCATCAAATCTTAGAAGACCTTTATGCAATATAATATTATATTACTATGGATATAAAGCCGAAGAGTGGGCTGCATGGATTATAATGTTTTCACTGCTTTTATTTAAAGGGTAACTGCCATCAGTTTATTATAATGAATGGAGTCTTTTTGTAAAAGCAGTATGGTTGTACCAAAAAAAATTACAACAATTAATGATTTGGATAATATTAATGACCTTTTATTAAAATTTTATGAACATTACAAATAGTAATATTTATATTTATTATATCATATTATTATATAATTATTTTTATTAATAGTTTATATTTATTAGCTATTATTACAAAAATTTAATTGAGCATTTTAGTTTAATGAAAATGTGTATACATTATATACTTCATGTACTTTTGAGTATTTAAAAAAATAGTCCTTACTGGGCAACATGGCAGTTCCTAATTGAGTGTGTTTGTGGAATGTTGCTACTACTTGCAAGATCATGACTACACCTTTATAAAAATATTATAAATAATATTTATATTATCGAACTTTTTAATCATTTAAAATTCTATAAAAACATTATCAAAAGATATTTTTACCTGTACAAAGTATAAGCAACTCAAGACAAATTAGTTTTTCAACAAATAAATATGAAGAAAAGTTTCTTAATCCTATGATACAACATTTACTCAATAATGCTAAACTTAAAAAAATAAAAAACCATTATACAATAAATTATAATATAACATCGAATCAGTTACAGGTATGCAAATTTTGTTTTTTTTTTTTTTTTTATAATTAATCATAGTATATATATCTTAAACCTTTATTATTCAAGTACAAAAATTTGGTTATTTATGCACAAAACATAGACAGTACATTGGATCTAGTTGGATTATATGAAACCCTGATTGGGCACATATAAATTATTCTGTAAAAGTATATATTATTTAATTTTGTAACAATAAATAAATAAGAATGTTATTGAAGCTAACTTTAGTGATACTAAGCTAAAGATCAAGCTAAGCTAACATCAAAGTTATAATTTAATCTACAAAAAATAGTTATTAGTTTTGACTTTAAGTATGGTTTATAGCTTAAGTCATAACTTAATTATAGTTTGATTATAGTTTTTTTATACTAAGCTATTCAAGCTAATAACATCCCTAAAATAAATATATATATATATTTAATTAAATAAATTTATTATGTAGGTTTAAATGTAAATAGACATCTACACAAATAATTACAAACATGAACCAGTATTTGAAACAGAATTATTTTATAAAAATATTAAATATTATATTACTTATAAATTTAATGACAAAAATTGTATGCTGGCTTGTATAAATTGGACAATGCCAGTAATAGAAGATTTAGGAGGTTAAAATATTTTCGTAACTTTTTAGGTTATGATTTTATAGATATAACAACAATTATTTGTTGTGTTAGATTTATTAAGATAGATAATCTTTATTATATAATTGACAATGATATAAATAAAATGTAAAGCAAAATAATTTCTATAAAATAAAATTTAATAAATATAAGCATATCATTTTAACACTAATATTTTTTAAAAAATTTTTAGTAACTAGAATAGTGGATTGAATTTCAAGACTACTTTTAAGATATATTATGTTTTTGGAATACAATATTAGTTATAATATTTACTTGTATCTATTATTTCATATATAAGTAGTTTTAAGCAAAAAGGTTATATGTTTTTATATATTCGATAAGTTTATCTAACAAGTTTTATTTTAATAGCATTATTAGAAATTAAATTCTATAATGTTAAGATAATTAGGTGTATAAAATCATAAGGCAATTTATATATTGATCTTTTTATTATATCTTTTTATATTTGTGATGTTTCTTAAATAATCTTCTTTTAACCTCCTTTTAGAATTTATGAAATGATAATATAATTTTGTAATTTTGGAAACAGTGTAGTTTTACTTGTAAATTCCTAAAATAATACGTCTAGACTATAAATATTAGATTTATCATGAATGGTCATTGTGTGCCTCAATATATGTAGTAGTAGTTTTTGCTCAGATATATTTAAATTATTAATATTGATAAGTATAACACTTTCTAATTCTTATTTACTTATTGTATTTATAAGATTCATATAATTTAATAATTGAAGCCAGTAGAATCTAATTATATTTTATTTTATTTTTTTATTTAATAACTTTTATTTAGATTAATTATAATAATAAAAATTAGTAAAAATGCAACTTTTAAAACATTTATGTTTAAGATCCAATTTAAGCTTATATACCTATTTTCTGAATGTTTAGCATTATTGATTTTTCATTAAGTTAATTAAAGATGCTAACAAATGAATTATCGAACTTTCAAATATAACTATAACACTAATCTTAGCCAATCAATACAGCTCTATGAAAAAGATAAGTAATCATAGTCAAATTTTTTTTATCTAAATAATTTTTATTATTTTTACTATTGTTTTTATATTTCTATATATTCAACTCTTTTTTTAGCAATGTTTAAAAAAGAAATTTAGTTTTATTTTTCATTTTATATAATATAGAATGTATTTCCAAATTATGATATTTAATCATGCTATTGTTAAAGACTCTGTTATCATAATAATAGCCATATTTGAATATAATTTTTAACTATTAATATTAATTATCAAAAATGCAACCATATTTAAGCAATCAGTAATATACTATGTTAATCTATATTAGTAATGTTCTTGATTAAAGCTGATGAACATGCATATAACCATTGTGATAGGAAAAACTTTGCTGTGCCAATGTGTGTCAGAATAAGAATTATGCTAACAACTATTAATATAATAATACTAAATACTACTCTAATCCTGATCCTAACAGTGAAAGGCTACAAAAATTTGGTTTAAGTAATTAGGGCCTTAGATTGGAGCTATATATTATATTACAAAGCTCTAATATAGAATCACAGAATTAGACTTTATATTACTTTTACCTATCAAAGTGAATTATTAGAGTAAAAATATTTTTTTAACATGAACTATAACTGTAACTGTCATTTATTAAAAGCAAAAGGTAGTATTTTTATACTTTTATACTATTAATAGATACATTTAGTAGAATATATACTCTATATACTTTATGTCTAATAAATAGAATATATCTTTACATATATGTACTTATAACACTTATAACACTTTAGAACTTATACCATATATGCTAGATTTGGCAGATTTTATATAATTGATCCTAAACCATCTTGAAAACTTATTTTTCTCTTTACACTACCAAGTAATTTTATTATAACTTAAAAACTTAGGTCAGATGAATAAATTGAATTGGATTAGATTAAATAGATAAATTAGGTGAATAAATATATTAAACTAATTGAACTAAGTTGAACTAGATTGGATAGGTTAAATAGAAAATTAAATTAAATTAAATAGATTAAATAGATTGAATAAATTAAAATTAAATAGATTAGATTAGATAAATAAATTAAATATTGAATTAAATTTATATAATATATAATATAATTTATTTTTATTTAAATTTTTTGTTTAAATTTTGTTTAAATAAATAATTTTTATAATTTTTATTTTAAAAACATGTATTTATTGTCTAATTATACAAAATTTAAACAATATAATTTGAGTTAATTTTTATAAATTTTTTTTTATTATACAAAAAGTATACAAAATAAAAAAAATTTATATAAATATCAAACAAGTCTATACAAAAATAAAACAAATATTAGATATTTTGTTTTTATAGAAATAGTAATTTTGTGAGAAATTCTACTAATATTAGTTGGAACCTTTATTTTATTAGCCTTATTTTCTATTAGGATAAGGTCATATAGCATTAAAATGTTTTCTTCTATTTATAATTTAACAATTATTTGGCAATGTCTAAAAATAAACAATGCATTGGATCAATTACAAGAAACTGAACTGAATTAAAATAAGAAAAATGATAAATTTTAAACCAACTAACTAAAGTTTCTAATATATGCTTTCTTTTTATATCATCAGTATTACAATCTTTTTACCTTGTAGCATTTTGTCAAAGTTTATTAATATTTCTTTTAATAAACCATTCATCTATATTAGCAAATTTACCAAAGTTGGGCTAATTTCTTTCATTAAAATTGGTCTTTTTTAAATATTTATAACAAGCAATTCTGGCTAAAATATGTTTACATACCTTTCTTGTAGTAGTTATGTTACAAGAACAACATATTACTGCTGCTCTTATAAATTTGCTAGTAAGATATTTGAAAGTGCTCTCTAATTTAATTTTTAAATTTATATTAACTAGAATAAAAGAAATAAAGACTTAGAATTAAGTTTATTATTTATTATGCTACAAATTAACCAATTGATCTATTAATAGTGCCAGATAATAACTTAGTTAGTGTAGTTTAGATTTATTAGGCCTAGATAATTATGTAAAAGATTACAAATAATGCTGTAGATTGTTCTGACACTATATGTAGAACTATTGAATGATTGAAACTAATCTAAATTAATTATTAAACCCAAATTACAATTCAATAGTTTCTTCTAAAAGAATAGCAAATCTTCATTTGAATTTTAAAATGTTTTTCAAATTCTTCTATTATATATGTTAGTAAGATGTTCAGAATTATTAAGCCTTTCTGCCCATTTTCTGCAAGACACTTTGAATCTTTTCTAATTATATAATAACTAAAATTGGTATTTTAAAAAGACTATAGAAAAGATTAACAATGATCTGTATATAACATCTTTTGCTATAAGCACTTTTTAGTAACTGAATAATTAAAAAGCATCTAAAATTGATATTAGGTAATTCAGAAAAGTTTGAAAGGTGCAAAGGCTTATTTTAGGCATCAAATTTAGTTTGTCAGTTAACACATTAGCTACATTGTACAATTTGCAATATTGTTCATATATTGTATACTTGTTCATGTAAGCAATAATGCCAAAATTTTTATATATCATATTCAATAATAAAGAAAAAGAGAAGTAGGTTTTTTCATTATGAAAAATTAAAAGGTACTAAATAAATTTTAATAATAATTCAGTAGTTATCTTAGGCAACTTATACCTCTTCTGAAACTTTAGAATCTATAAAATAATTTACAAAAAGCCTTTAAGAACATTTAA